TGTTACCCTGATGCTGAACCCTTGTTGAGTGGCTCACAACAGAGAATCTCAAAATGCTTGCCCAAATCTGGTGATCCTCATACTCTCCCAGTGGGGTAGTCGGTGTTTTGAGTTACGTTTCACATAGGGGAAACGGATGCACGGAGAGGAGCTTTGTTCAAGCATCAGGTGAAGCAGAGAAACGAGGGGGAGTGTTAGGGCACCCCAGTTATGGTCCTGGCTGCTCATCCCCAACACCAGTGAGTTGTTATTCGAAAGCTTCGTTTCCTTAAAGCCTTCGCTGTCTCTAATAGCTCTTCTACCAAAAGTCAAGCTACTGAATTAGATATATAGAACTAAAAAGGAAAAAAAAAAAAAAAAAAAACCCAAAGGAACACAAAATTGATACAGCTCGTGGAGAAGGACGTTTTGGGTTGAGTGGGAAGCCCCGGGAACTTCAGGGGATTAATAGTCAGTTTGCAAATTACTTGTTCACATTGCTTTTTCACCACACAAACAGGTCTCAGTGATACTTGGTGATGCCACAGAAGTATCTGGAACTAAAGATTAGTGTGTTATATGCTTAGAATTATTGGCATTTCAACTACACAGTGATGCATTAGGCTGTGTAATCACTCATGCTATAGGACTAGGGTAACAAATGAGACTCAAAGGACCTTCTTTAAAAAGGCAAATACCTTCTACCACAGTGGACAGGGGGCCCTTGTGGGGCACTGGTTAAGAGCCTGGCTGCTAACCAAAAAGTCAGCAGTTCGAATCCACCAGCCGCTCCTTGGAAACCCTATGGGGCAGTTGTACTCTGTCCTATAGGGTCGCTATGCATTGGCACCGACTCGATGGCACTTAACAACAAGAGTGGACAGAATGCTGTTGAGTCCAGTAATGCATGTTTCTTGGTGTTTTTTCCCTTGGCTCCTTTGGGCATCTAGAAGAAAAGAGATTATAAATATTGGGGGAAAATCAGTTTTGTTTTATGAAAAACTGAAAAAGTGTTGGGGAACAGTAAGGAAACTATAGAGTATGGTAATTATTTTCATAACCGAGCAGCACTGAGGTTTAGGAAGATCCTACATTGATGCTATTTCACATCGTGTCTGGTTATAAAAATTTCCTAGTGAGCTGTTCCTATTTTAAAAATGAGTTGGAAACAAGCACTTCATTGAGTTTTTCAGGCATTATCAATACTTCCTGATGCTTAAAGACAAACGCTGATCCTCGTGATGACTCACACCCAGTCTTTGCAGTCATCTCTCAGATGAGTGGCTGTTGAGGCGGATTTTCAACCTAAGGCAGAGGGATTTAATCCCCTGATTCTCATTACTGCAAGAGCTGCGACTCCAAACGCCCTTGCAGCAGGCCCAAAATTTACCCCCTGCTGCCTCAGAGTGCCAATTAAATAATAAAAAGCCAAACCATGGCTAGGTGTAATTAGTTTGAGAACAGTTTTATAACTTTCCCCATGCCAAACAAACAAGTGTTCCCCCCAGCCCCCTGATGACATATACAGACGAATTCAGTTTGGACAAAGAGAACCCAGATCTCAAGGCTGAACATTTCTTGTGCTATCTGCTAGGAAGGCATAGTATCGAAAAACTGTGGTCTTCTGAGAATGGAAAACAAGGAAATAAATTCTGCTTCTAAATTGTTGAAAATGCAGTTTTTGTTTTTTCTCTCATTTAAAAAAAAATGTTTTTCAAGACTCTATTTGATCCAGGTTTCAGCAAAAATGTATTACTTCTTAAAAATATGATTCTGATAGGAACAGATTTCAGCTGTGTAGCTGGCAAAACTGCATTCAAGAAATACAGTTCTTGAAAGACTGCTGAGCGTGTCTTAGCCCAAACCAGCTCAGAAAGAGCATCAGGCTCAGTGGGCTCTGGTGCAAGAATGTTAAATCCCCTCTCCTGGCCCTTTTGGGTGCGGCGGCCTCCATGGTGACCTGGAGCCAGGGTCCTGCTGTGTCCTCCACGTGGTTGACGGGGGCTCAGCTGAACTGCGCGTCTGAAGCGCACCCTTTCTGTATTTTCTCTCTAGATATACATGAATTGTGTAAGATGGTGTTCTGGGAAAAGGAATCTAATGATAAAGCAAAGTAATAGTTTTGTGTTTTGTTGTTGCTTCTGTTTCTTTGTTTAGCTTAGGGAGGGAAGTTAAAAGGGAGGGAAAGAATAAAAATGAGGTTAACAAAAAAGCCAGCCACATGGGGGGATGTATGATGTCAAGCTACTGGCCCAATATCTGCATCTACTTCAGTTCAAAATTCTCTTCTTCAGCCAAATATTGCAAACATTGTTGCCATGTTGACTTGAGTTGCAAAGAACAGGACACATAAGTCAGGGAACTTGTTTCATCAAGAAACGCTGAGTGAA